AGAGGCTTCATTTTGATTGGTAGCAAGGTTGGTATTCTTGTCCACACACACATCTGTGCTACATGCACTGATAGCCCTATAGTTTTTAAATTGCCGGGGACAGGGTTGTTCCGTATCAATTAACTCCCTGTCCCCGCTGTTTAGTTTAAATTTCCCTCCAGAAAATCTGTGAATTTATAGCCGAGTAACTCAGTCCCTTTTTTTGATGGATGCAAACCATCTCTTTTGTACATCTTTTGATTGGACCAGCTACTGACATCGTGACTAATATATCCAAAGCCTTCCCCTTTACACCACTCCTTTAGCCACATATTGAATTGTGCTATGCGCTGGCCTTTTCCGTTTTGCTCCTTATACACTGGTAAAACCTCTGAGAAAGTAAGCCTACAGCCTATTCTGCTAAGTTCCTTCCCCAAGCTCTGGAAATCATTCTGCACAGAGAGTACATCTTTTTGGGACAGATCATTAGTGCCAAGATGTACAATAGCCTCCACATCACAGTCCTTGCTGCCATTCTTGATTATTTTAGAAATACGCTTCTTGTCCCTACTGGCAGTAGCACCTGGAAGACACCTGACCTCTTTCAAAGCCTCTGTGTCCTTTCCTAAATTTACATCCCTTATAATTGAATCACCTACCAGAAGGTAGCTTCTCTTTTTGGGAGCCTTTCTATTCTTGCATGACTGATGTGCAATACCTGATTCACACTTCTCCCTGTCAAAATCTAGTTCTTCATCTCGGACCACAATCCCCTGCTTATTTGAGTTATCTTCACAAATACCTTTACCAGTCTCCTTAATGTCCCTATTAAGGTCAGCAAGGGCACTGTAGCTGTTGTGCAGGGACACAGCGAAAGCTTTGTGTTTATGGTTCACAGCTCTCACCCTGCCAGATCCCACGGGTGTCCACACTGCCCTTTTCCTGCAGGATCTTTGTGGTAAAGGGGGCTGATAGCAGGGAGGCTTACTAGAGTAGAGGGGCTGAACTGGACACCTAATTTCTGCCCGAAGGCAGAAGGCTAGTGATTTGTTTACAGATAGGACAGTTTCCAAGTTTGAAAAGGGTACTGCGAAAAACAGCTGCAAAGCAGGTGTTGCACTGAACTAAGCCGGACATCTTAGATACAGGGGATGTCAGACACACTTGCCCTGAATGTACTGCTACTGTTTGTGATTTTTAGTTATCTAATTATATAATTCGCGCACCGTTAGGCGCGCGGGCCGCTACTTTCCTGGTGGATTCTCCCAAAACTTACAGTTTAAGCAGCAGCTGGTGGGATGTAGCACGTTCCAGCAGCCCGACCGAAGTTGGAATGGGGTTTAAATAGAGTACAATACACTATAAATATAATGGAGATCCAATCAGGGCCTTGCTACTTTCCTGGTGGATTCTCCCAAAACTTACAGTTTAAGCAGCAGCTGGTGGGATGTAGCACGTTCCAGCAGCCCGACCGAAGTTGGAATGGGGTTTAAATAGAGTATAATACCTATAAATATAATGGAGATCCAATCAGGGCCTTGCTACTTTCCTGGTGGATTCTCCCAAAACTTACAGTTTAAGCAGCAGCTGGTGGGATGTAGCACGTTCCAGCAGCCCGACCGAAGTTGGAATGGGGTTTAAATAGAGTACAATACACTATAAATATAATGGAGATCCAATCAGGGCCTTGCTACTTTCCTGGTGGATTCTCCCAAAACTTACAGTTTAAGCAGCAGCTGGTGGGATGTAGCACGTTCCAGCAGCCCGACCGAAGTTGGAATGGGGTTTAAATAGAGTACAATACACTATAAATATAATGGAGATCCAATCAGGGCCTTGCTACTTTCCTGGTGGATTCTCCCAAAACTTACAGTTTAAGCAGCAGCTGGTGGGATGTAGCACGTTCCAGCAGCCCGACCGAAGTTGGAATGGGGTTTAAATAGAGTACAATACACTATAAATATAATGGAGATCCAATCAGGGCCTTGCTACTTTCCTGGTGGATTCTCCCAAAACTTACAGTTTAAGCAGCAGCTGGTGGGATGTAGCACGTTCCAGCAGCCCGACCTCTCCCAAAACTTACAGTTTAAGCAGCAGCTGGTGGATGTAGCACGTTCCAGCAACCCGAAGTTGGAATGGGGTTTAAATAGAGTACAATACACTATAAATATAATGGAGATCCAATCAGGGCCTTGCTACTTTCCTGGTGGATTCTCCCAAAACTTACAGTTTAAGCAGCAGCTGGTGGGATGTAGCACGTTCCAGCAGCCCGACCGAAGTTGGAATGGGGTTTAAATAGAGTACAATACACTATAAATATAATGGAGATCCAATCAGGGCCTTGCTACTTTCCTGGTGGATTCTCCCAAAACTTACAGTTTAAGCAGCAGCTGGTGGATGTAGCACGTTCCAGCAGCCCGACCGAAGTTGGAATGGGGTTTAAATAGAGTACAATACCCTATAAATATAATGGAGATCCAATCAGGGCCTTGCTACTTTCCTGGTGGATTCTCCCAAAACTTACAGTTTAAGCAGCAGCTGGTGGGATGTAGCACATTCCAGCAGCCCGACCGAAGTTGGAATGGGGTTTAAATAGAGTACAATACACTATAAATATATGGAGATCCAATCAGGGCCTTGCTACTTTCCTGGTGGATTCTCCCAAAACCTACAGTTTAAGCAGCAGCTGGTGGGATGTAGCACGTTCCAGCAGCCCGACCGAAGTTGGAATGGGGTTTAAATAGAGTACAATACACTATAAATATAGTGGAGATCCAATCAGGGCCTTGCTACTTTCCTGGTGGATTCTCCCAAAACTTACAGTTTAAGCAGCAGCTGGTGGGATGTAGCACGTTCCAGCAGCCCGACCGAAGTTGGAATGGGGTTTAAATAGAGTACAATACACTATAAATATAATGGAGATCCAATCAGGGCCTTGCTACTTTCCTGGTGGATTCTCCCAAAACTTACAGTTTAAGCAGCAGCTGGTGGGATGTAGCACGTTCCAGCAGCCCGACCGAAGTTGGAATGGGGTTTAAATAAGAGTACAATACACTATAAATATAATGGAGATCCAATCAGGGCCTTGCTACTTTCCTGGTGGATTCTCCCAAAACTTACAGTTTAATTTATTTGGCAAGGAAAGAAAGCTAGAATTAAGATGAAAATGTTACAAGATACCAAGGAAAATGGAGGATTTGGTTTACCAGAGTGGGTTTTATATTCTCAAGCATCTGTATTAACATGGGTAAAAGAATGGATAACTCTTAGAAATAAAAGGTTGTTCTATCTGGAGGGGCATGATTTACAATTGAGGTGACAAGCCTTTTTATGGTATGGGAAAAATAAAATTCATAAATATTTCCCAAATCATTATATAAGAAATGCATTATTAACAACATGGGAAAAAATAAAATCTAAAATATATTTGAAAATTCCAGGGTGATTGTCAACAATGGAAGCATTTGTACACCCAAACTTGGTGGACTTTGAAAAAATCTGGACATATATAGAGATATTCTAAATTCTGAAGAGAATTTAAAATCTAAATAAGAAATGGAAAATCAGGGTATCAACTTGTCATGGTGGGCACATTTACAAATGCAAATTAGATATGAAAAAGATGTTAAACTGTATGGATTTTATAAAGAACAAACGGCATTTGATAAGACTTCATTAACTTCAGATGAGAAATTAATTAAGAAAATGTATAATTTTTTATTAACTTTGGAAATGGAAAGCGAACAAGTTAAAGAAACAATGATAAGATGGGCGAAAAATTTTGGATATAATATAGAATTAGAGAAATGGCAAAATTTATGGGAAAGAAATTATAAACTGACAATGTCAACTTCTTATGAAGAAAATTTATAGAAAATGTTTTACAGATGGCATTGAGAGAAGTTAGCCCCCCCCCAGAAGGAAATATTAAAAAGGAAAATATATTTTTCACCAAAAGGATTTTTTGAAAAGCAGAAACAAAACCTGGCCCCAAATTTCTTTGTTCCAAGCAAGAGCTAACCTCATAGAAATGCAGATATAAGACCATTAGGAAGGTTGGAGCCAGGGAACTCAAGACAAAGAAACTCTTAAGAGTCATTAGCCCAGCCCTAGGGAAGCAGGAGATGACTTTTGGGATATAATAGGACTAACCCATTACCTTCAAGTATACCATAGAGGCACACCTAAAACTCAGGTCAGAATACGTGACACAAGAAATAGCCTCAAAGTTCATGCCACAGGAACAGGAAACTATTCCAAACAAAAGGCTAGAGGGAGTATAAAAACCCCAAGCCCATGTGCTCAGCCTTTCTCTCCTCTGTTCTTTCCTGAAGAACCATCTTTCTGCTTCTTCAATAAACTGTAACCTTCTTCCCAAAGCAGTCACCATGTTTGCTTATTTATTCCCGGCTTGGATGAACCAGGATGAAGACTTCACTTCTAACAGCATCTACCACCAGCAAGATTAGCAAAAATGTTTAAAAATATGTCAGATAGATGTTGGAAATGTAAACATAAGTCAGGCATGTACTATCATGTTTGGTGGACATGTGATAAAGTAAAGAATTATTGGAAAAAGATACATATTTGGTTAGAAAAAATGTTGGGAGAACATGTAGATTTTACACCTGATTTTTTTTATTAGGTATAATGCCAGAAAAGACTAACAAACAAAGCCTATATTTAATTTTACACGTCACAACAGTGGCAAGAATAATATTTGCGCAATATTGGAAAAATGAAGGAAACCATCAGATGAAGAAATAATTAAAAAAAATACTAGAATGCTCAGAGATGGACAGATTGACTATGAGACTGAAAGAAAAAGAAGAAACAGAATACCATCAAACTTGGGACTTATTTTACCGATGGTTAGAGGAAAGAATAAAGGATTAGGAATTAAATATGTATTAGCGTATTTAAACTCAGACAGCACATTGGTTGAAAAATTATTATTGTATGTATGGGAAAAAATTGATAAAAACTTATATAAAAAAAGAGTTGACTGACACAGCTCAAACCTTAACATGGCATCCTCCACACGGGGTCCACTGAGAGTGCTGCTGATCACATCATCTAATTGCATTATAATGTCAGAGCCTAGGGGAAAAAATACAAGTTAGCTAAGATCAATCAATATCGAAATGGAGGATGAAATTGCCTGGATAAATTTTAACAATATTTAATTTATATTCTGTACTCTTTGATCTATGAGGCACATATAAGGCCTACAATGAGAAAGCCATTGAACAAATATAAGCCAATAAAATAGGAGAAAAAAATCTTGTTGTGGCTCATTCTGGCTCATTCCAGAAAACGTGGAATGAAGATATATAGTAAACATCCAAAGGAAGTTTTACCTTCTATTTACAATTTTATTTTATTTATTTTGGTAATTTATATACTATATGATCCAAAGAGATATGCCAGTTCACAGCAGAAAACAAATAGAACTGATCAATATCAAATTGAACACAAATACAAGTAACCTAGGAGACTAGGCCGATGCCAGGATACCTAAAAGTGATGAAGGCATGTAAACAGGACAAAAGCCAGGAAAAGCTTCCTCAGGAAAAGGAACCAAGTCATTAAGGAAACGAAAGGACAAAAGTTGGGCTTGAGCACATGGCAAGTGCTCACCAACAAGTCTCACCAACAAAGGACTTGGGCCTGCAGGGGAAGCCCCTCCTCACCAACAAAACAAGGACTTTGGGGGATAAAAAGAGATCCTGAAGCCTGCCCACTTTTGGATCCCAAACTTGGCAGCTTCCATCCCTCTGGCTAGTGCCTAGCAGCCTAGTTGTGGATGAGAGAGAGAGTGTGTGTACCAGCAAATAGATATACTTTATAATTAGTAAAAAAATTGCTGTTATTTTAAATTTACTGGGCCTCTGTGTATTTTAAAGAACCATTCATGCCTATGTTCATTTGAAAGTGATTTGAGTGCAGCAAGTTTCCAGGGCTGTGAGTGTGTGAGTGAGTGACTATAAGGGAACCTAAGAGCACACTTGTGTAACACCTGCAATAAACTATAAAAAAAACATAAAGCTGTCTTACAGTATAACAAAGTATCACCAAATGACATCATAACAGTAAATCTAAGGTAGTAAAATCAGTATTTCAAAAGAGAATTAAAATAAACAATGAGAAAATACATGACAACAAATAAAAACCTGGCAACCTGATTGCTGTGAGGGAAAACCTAACAAATAAAACACATTTAAAGATTTTTTTAAAAAAGCATAATAAAAAAAGGTAGAATGCATATAGTGGGTGAGAAAATTCCAGTGTGTTGGCCCTCAGCCCTAGCTGATTCTGAGGGCGTATTCTCTATAACAGCACAAAGAGAAGGCTGTTCTATGCAGAATGTAGCTTTCAGGAACACCATAGGGCAGTGTTTCCCAAACTTGACAATTTTAAGGCATGAGGACTTCAACTCCCAGAATTCCACAGCCAGCGTTGTTGCTAGCTGTGGAATTCTGGGAGTTGAAGTCCACATGCCTTAAAATTGTCAAGTTTGGGAAACACTGCCATAGGGGGAAGCAGTGCCCTCAAGCAGGAGGGGCTTGAGCCATTTGAAGGAATTGATAGGTAATAAATAAAATATCTGAATGACAGGACTAGAAGCTTAGCTAAAAGCAGGTGCTCTGTGCTCCCAATGGGACACTCCAGAGAGAACATTTTCAAATCATAATTTACTACCTCTTTCTTTAATCCCACACAGATCCATTGCAACAGTCTAATTGGGAGGCTAGCAGTGTATGGGCAATGGTAATCAGATTATCTCTTATCAAAAAGGAGTACATAAATCATGGATAAATCATTCACTAACAGAAAAATAAGAAATGGGGACTAAGTATGCAAATAGAGTCAAGTAGACCGTTTATGAGCTACTGAACTATTTTCTGCAGTTCTATTTTCTTAAAAAATTCCTAATCAGGTATGTCTGACATGATGGACAATCATGAAAGTAGGGAACTATCACTACCATTATAAAACAAAAGGAAGCATTACTTTAGCGTCATATTATTATTATTATAGTTACCAAGAGCATTCTGTATTTCAATGGATTTTTCTGGTGTTAGCAGAATCTGCTTGCCATCATAAGGAGAACAGAAATGTACTCCCTCCTCTGTCACCTTGGAGAACTCCACCAGAGATACCATCTGAAAACCACCACTATCCTGCAAAAAAGACACTTTGAAAGGAACTGAGAAGTAAGGAAACCAGTAGTAGTAGTCATGTAATAGTAACAAAAATCCCTTCATGCATGAGCTGCGTTCACTACCAGCCCTATAAGGTGCTCCACATATATGATCTGCTTAAACTGCCCTTGTTAAGAAAACATTCACAGCAAGCTGAATTGATTGTGATGGTGACAGGGGGAGAAAATGGACAGAAACTAGTGGCCCAGTAAACCATGTTGTTTATATTCACTGATCATACTTCAGAGACAGTATAGCTGCCATGCTGACCTAGTAGGAAGGGATTTTTTTAAAATTGTGTTAAACCTGAGGTGCCTGCAGCAAATGGAACAAGGATGGGAACCGTGTCTTGCAATGACATTAATATTCAAGCTCTTCCATCATGATGCCACTGCAGAGTGGGAACCAGCCCAACTCATGACAGGAAAGTGCATGATTTATCTTTGGCACTACAGTCAAAGAGAGCTCTGAGAGCCAAAAAAATAAAAAAAGAAGTCAGAAGTTATGTGCAGAATGCCCTGATGTCTTCCATAAGAAGAGCCAGTTTGGTTGCAGTGGTTAAGGTTCTGGCTTAGAAACTGGAGACTGTAAGTTCCAATCCCACTTTAGGAATGAAAGCTCGCTGGATGACTTTAGGCCAGTCACTTTCTCTCAGCCCTACCCACCTTATAGGGTTGTTGTTGTGGGTAAAGTAGGAGGCAGGAATATAGGGAAGGAGGAGGGGGAGAGAGAAGGGGAAGAAGAGGAGGGGGAGGTAGTAGTCATGATTTTACAAGCTGCATTGACACATTGTACCAAATCAAAATCAAGCAAATTACACTAAGGCCTAGTACAATATATTAAACCAGATTCTGCTGCGTACTTCCACTATGAATTTTGTATACCAGTAAGATAAAAGTGACTGGGTTCATGCATTTTGCTGACCCAAGGTATATTTTATAAATATTTATATACATATAAGTTACAAATAGCTGGATTTGTAATTGCATTAAATAATAAGTTGTGGTTTATTTACCTTAATGGTTGGGTTAGGGCAAAAAAAACCCCTCATATTACAGCATTACGTAGCATTATGCAGACAACTAAACATTATGCAGACAGCTAAATAGCATCTCACAATAATCCTTTAACTTTCCAAACAGGTTAAAAACATTACAAAGAACCGGTAATGTCTTGAGTGTTGTCAGTACATTGAAGGAACATATATAAGTAACCCTTGACTTAACAACCATTCATTTAGAGACCATTTGAAGTTACAATGACAGTAAAAAAAAGTGACTTATGACCAGTTTCACATTTACAATGACTGCAGCATCCCCATAGTCATGTGATCAAATTTGGGCACTTGACAACTGGCATGCGATCACCATTTGTAACTGTCTCAGCCAGCCTGCGACAAGCAAAGTCAATGGGAGAAGCTAGATTCATTTAATGACAAGATTCACTTCACAACTGCAGTGATTTGCTTAACAAGAGTGGCAAAATGGTCATAAAATGGGGTAAAACTCACTTAACTGCCTTGGTTACCAACAGAAATTTTTGGCTTAATTGTGGCTGTAAATTGAGGACTACCTTTAACCCCATATTTCTAATGTATCTTTATGGCTTTAAAAGAATTATAGTAGAAATCTTCAACAAAAGCTGGCAAAGGGTAGAATAGCCGGCAGAATAGTTCAAGTGCAAAACTCAAAACAATCCATTCTAAATGAATATTAAGGCATTACTGGCTATTTCTCTGAGAAGATTCAAACTTATGTTTCATCATCATCATCATTAATCAGAAGGTTTGTGCAAAGATCGATGGCACAATGGAAGACACCACTGCAGGTCAATGGTGAAAGACTGGGAGAGGTTAATATCAAAAGAGGTATATTTCAAAGAAATTCACTATCACACTACTGTTTGTCATTGTACTGATTCCTCTGTCAACAATACTGTATAACTCAGACCATGGCTATCAAAGATCAGAAACATCTGCCAGACTATCCTAGCCTCTTTTATATAGACAATCTGAAGCTGTATGGAAAAACACCATCTGAAATAGAAACACTGCTCAATACTGTCCATATATACAGCAAGATATTGCAATGGAGTTTGAACTGGACAAATGCGCCAAGCTCATCATCAAATGGGGAAAAATAGTGAAAACTGAAAGAATCAAGACGCCCTATCGAAATAATATCAAGAATAAATAACAGAATGGAGGCATGGGAAGACACTACATGGCCAGTAGACGAAAAAACTAAGAGCAACAAAGATGATTAGAGGCCTGGAAGCTAAAACATATGAAGAACGGTTGCAGGAATTGGGTATGTTTATCTGATGAAAAGAAGAACTAGGGGTGACATGATAGCAATGTTCCAATATTTGCAGGCCTATCACAAAGAAGAGGAGGTCAACCTATTTTCCAGAGCACCAGAAGACAAGACAAAAAACAATGGATGGAAACTAATCAAGGAGAGAGGCAACTTAGAACTAAGGAGAAATTTCCTAACCATGAGAATAATTAACTAGTGGAACTGCTTGCGTTCAGAAGTTGTGGGTGCTCCATCACTGGAGGTTTTTAAAAAGAGACTGGCAGCCACTTATCTGGAATGGTATAGGGTCTTCTGCTTGAACACAGGGTTGGACTAGGAGACCTCCAAGGTCCCTCCCAACTCTATTAGTTTGCTAATATCATGAATATACATGAAGATGATCACTATAAAAACCTAGGCATCTTCAAAGCTGACAACATCAAGCACAATGAAGTCAAGAAAAAGGTTACAAATAAATATATCAAGAGAGTGAAGATCTTAAAAGCCAAACTCAGTGGAGGAAATACCACCAAAGCAATCAATACCAAATACCAGAGCAATTTCGGTGATTAGATACACAGCTGGATACACAAACAGAACTAAAGGCCCTGGATAGGAAGACCAGAAAAAATAATGTCAATGAATCATGCCCTTCATCCTTGCAGGGATGTTGCGACTCTACCTACTGAGGCAAATAGTTGGTGGAATGCTGCAAGTACATCAGAGGGTTGAAGAAGAAAAAATGTCTTTGGAAGAATATCTGAAAGACAGTGAAGACGATGCATCGTAATTAGAATACGAGGAAGAAATGCTGAGTGCTAGAGTGACCAAATTGGCTTACAAGAAAGGTCAAATGAAGAAGAGAAAGGAGGCATAAGAAGACAAATGATTACATGGCCATTATATTAAGAAAATAGCAGGGAGTTCCGGTAGGGATGCTGCACTGATGGCAGCTTTTTTTGGGCTGCCAGCCCTGTGAATGTGTAAAAGCGCGCGGAGACAGTGAAAATCAACTGTCCTGCGGCTTGGAAATCTCCTCCTCGGGAGAAGAGGGGGGGAAGAGTTTACCTCAGGCAGAGCTAGAGCTCCCCTTGACCTCCTTAATTATTTGGAGGTCGAAGGGTGTGAGTTCCCTCGAAGCCAGAGGCTTTCTCCGCACTCCAGGATGCCTTTGCTCTGAGCTTCAGGAGCAAAGCAAGACGCCGCACCCACATCTGCATTTCAAAGGGACTTGTGAGTAATTTAAAAGCAGATGGAGCTGACCAGGAGAAGTTAAAATTGTGAATGTTTGAAACTTTAACTTGGGAGAAATAATCTTCTCCATATTTTAATTTGACTTAAAGGAAAAAAATGGCGACAGAATGTTGTTTGTTTGAAAGGACAGTGTTAAGAAAGAGCTACATTTGGAAACAAAGTTTAAACAATGTATTAGACTTTGGTTATTTATTTAAGAAGCAAGAACTTTTACAGAATATTTTTTTTCCTTCCTTTTTCTGGGATTTTGCTTTTTACTTTCTTACTTTGTAATTGTTGATTTTACAAGAAGTGGACTTATACAGACAGGAAAATGGCTTCAAAGCGTTTGGGAACTTCTGCTGTTCCTAAAAGTTCAATTTCTTCTCCTGTAACACAGCCTGCACTGCAAACTAAACCTAAATCCCCCACCACCGGCATTTATGCTTAAAGATATTCAAGATGCTTTGAAAAAAGCGACACAAGAGATAAAGGAGGAGGTGGCCGATCTCCTCGACAGTAAAATGAAGGAAGAGATGGCAGAGCTTCTTGGGAATAAAAATAAGAGAAATGAGGGAAGACATATTGTTTGCACTTCAAGGGTTAGCTACTCATATTGAACGCCTGGATGACCGGGTGGATGAAGTTGTGGAAAATACTGAAAAATTAGAAAGCAGAGTTGTCAAAGTTGAAAATAAGATTGATATAACAGAGGATGAAGTTACCATCTCACAATATAGAGATATGGAATTTGCACTGCGAATAAGAGGATTAAAAGAGAACTCACGAGAAGACCTGAAAGAGGAGGTGGCAAGAGCTATAGCTCCCATCCTGGGATGTGAACCTGAGGAATTATCAAGAGAGATGGATAAAATATTTAGGGTCAATTCATGGATTGCGAGGCAGAAAAATTTACCCAGAGATGTGGTTATTTATTTTTCTAGATCACTTCGAAATGAAATTATTCAGGCTTTTTATAAGCAGAGATTTCAAATTGCAGATCAAAATATTATAATCTTAAAAGAAAAACCTCCAAAAATTCTTAGAAAAAGAAAAGATTTTGCTTTTCTGTCTGAGGAACTTAAAAATCGACAGGTTCAGTTTAGATGGAAGATACCTGTTGGAATAGTGGTGAATTATGCAGGGACACGATATAGACTTAATACCATTTCAAAGGCAAAAGATTTTTATATTTATGTCCTGAAAGCAGGTTCACCACCATCTCCACGACCTAAGAGAACAGAAGAAAGGCTGGAAGATAAACAGCCAGTTGAAGGCGCAATGTCATTGGTTGTAGGAGATTTAACGCAGGCTGAACCTATTGAACAGAGTTTGGAGGTAAAAGATGATTCAAAGGAACATAGGATGACTCGTGCTGCGTATAGACATAAAGAATTTTGGATCAATAATACAAGGTCCGATTACTACAGACCTGTGGGAGGGACATGA